ATTACTCAACCACCACGACGGCTACGGCCTTCAGAGTCGACCAGTTTGTCAATAACTCCAGCCGCTATCGAATGATTCTATCTTTATAGGGGATTTCGAGATGATTGGGGCGAAAACCCCGTGGCCGGCCCTTTCAGGGGTTCCCGAGGCAGCAAACTCACTAAACCAGAATTTTCTTACCTGCGTATTGAACCTTCACGCCGACGCGAAATCGTTCATTTCGCACAACGAGCAGGCCGGAAAACAGCTTCTAAAGCCTGTTATCGACTTCTTCGAGCAGGTAGTCACCTACTGCGGTTTCATGCAACGCCAAACGACGGATATTCTCGATAGGAATGCTCATTTAGGCCCTGAGCTGGCTTCGATCAAGCAGACCCTTCAGAACGTCTAACAACATACCTACAGTACCCAGTCAAGCATTCGGAATCAGAGCCATCAATCTTAGGCCTCCGTGGTCAGGAATGCGCCTCCTCCAGCCTATACGATTTCTACTCACGACTCCTCCAGCACCGCCCCGGCCACCCCGTCAGAGCTCAGCAAGGACCGCGAAGTAATCGTTAAACTGCGAGATGCTAGTGCCCAGAAGACCTACTGAAAGAAGTCATCGGCAGAGATAAAGGATAAGGCAGAGAGTGCAAAAAAAAGAGCTGTAATAACGATTCTAACGCTCTCCCTGGCGAGAGCCCGATTCGTTTCCGCCAGGCAGCTGCGCTCGGGAGATCTTAGCCTGGCTCTACGTACTGCCGCGGAGGCCGAGACTGCTAGGATCTACGATAAATAGGCGGATCTCATGTCAAGCGAGGCCACCCTGCGACGCCCTACATGGGGCGTGGTAGTCCATGGCATCCCGGATCAAGCCAATCCAGGACCTGAGTGATCAGGGCGAACAGGACCGAGTAGCCAGCGAGCTACTTAACGAGAACAAGAAGGTTTGGAATCAGAAACCCGATATCAAGCGCGCGGCCTGGCTTACCCATTCCTCCAATTACAAGAACCAGAAATCCTCCGCTCTCGTCGTCGAATTCTCCGACCCGAGGCATGCAAACGAGGCAATCATGAAAGGGACTATTTGGGCCAGCGATAGCCGGATGACTGTTCTATACGATAGGAACGCGCGGATTCGGCGATACTTCAAATGTCAGCAATATAGACATATAGGAATCGTTTGTTCGAATAAAACAACCTGCGGCCTCTGTGCCGAAGGCCACGAGACCCGGTCTTGCGTACAGAGGTCTGCCACCGGAAGCCAGAGACGCAAATGCGCTGGATGCGGCGAAGCGCACGCCGCCTGGTCGAAGGTTTGTACGAGGTACGTAACGGAGCAGGAGCGGGTGCAAACTGCAGCTCAATATCGGCAGTCCCTATGCCGTATCCCGCCCTATCTACAGGATTATCCCTCCGTGGTTAGCGACACGGAGACCTCTAGCCCGCCCAACAGCGAGGGGCGGGCTGTGGGATCTGGGGAACAGAGGGAGAGATGGACCCGGTCAATCAGCCGGCCAGCGGAGCGGAATCGCTCTACAGTAAGATTTCAAGAAGGATCTATACCGCTATATAGCTCGCAGGAACTTGCCCCTGTACAGCAAGAAGAGGCCCTAATAGACCTAAGCCCGGAGATGGACGTGGATCTTACCCCGTCTGAGATAGAACCGTCGATTGCCCAGCAAATCAACATGATCAGCGAACCGGAGACGCCCGCACCAGTGACCCCTGCCCCCAGAGATCGTACCTTGAGCAAGAGGCGCCCCCGCAGCGTCACCTCCTTGCGGGCAACGAGGCGAAACGCTAGACACCATGTAACGCAGGAAGCCGCCCCCTTTGCCATTTCGCCTGCTACAGGGGATACCCCTCCAGCGAAGAGGACCCGAAGCAAGCAGCCAACCTACCGAGAACAATCAATATCGACTAGCGATATCACTAGCGACAACGCAGTGACAGCCCTCCTAAAATCGCCGGAGGCATCTCTTATCCCTGTACCTACCCCCTCAGGGCATTCGACCACGATGGTCTTAGCCGAGGATAACACGCTTGCCCGCTCAATATCAAGGAAACGTACTAGGGATCGTCGCCATGAATAGGCCCCTACACGTGCTTCAATACAATGTGAATCGATCAAAGGATAGGATGATGGCCCAGTTCCTCCGGGACCCTGCGGTCCTGAGGCTGATATCATCTTTATACAAGAACCGTGGGACAACCCCTTTCAGGATTCAACCTATTATCCAGCCAAAGCAACATACCAGCTTCTATACCCGACACGTACGGATATAGGGGACGAGCGGGCACGCGTGTGCCTCTTTATTTCGCGACAAATCGACTTTAATACCTGGAAACATATACCCCATTCGAGAGACATTCAAGAGCTTGATCTGACCGATGCTGATAGCAAGCGGCTTCGCATTTTCAATATATATAATCGACCTGCCGAGATTAGCATAGGTACCTTAGGCCTGGTCAGTAACTTCACTACTAACAATACTAACGATCACGTCCTCCTACTGGAGGACTTCAACCTTTACCACCCGGCCTGGGGCGGCGAGAATGCCGCCCGGGATACCCTTTCTAACCAGTTACTTGACTTAAGCGATAGAAGGTGCCTGGATCTCTGGCTAGAGCCGGGCACTACCACCAGAGACGAAGCCGGAGCGAAGACCACGATCGACTTGGTCCTCGGCTCGCAGGGCCTGACCCCTAGACTCGTTACCTGTGAGGTCACTGAAAAGATTTACGCAGATTCCGATCACCTACCTATACGGACCCTTATCGACATCCAAACCAAGATTCCGGAGGCGCAACGGCGCCGCAACTGGAAGGCGTGCAAAGTAAAAGAACTACAGACTTTTGTAGACCTGAACTTACACAGTAAAGCCTTTCCACTTGAGAATAAGCAGCACATTGAACTCGCAATAGAGTTTCTTATTGAAACGGTAAATCAAGGAATAGCAACATCTACCCCGTGGGCACGGCCAAGCAAGTGGGCGAACCCGTCTTTTACCCCGGAATGCTGAAAGATGATCAAGATCACTCGTAAATTCAGGCGTACATATACCGAGACCTGCATAGCTATGGGCCCTACCGATCCTACTACGGGGCTGGCCTGGGACCGCTATGCGAAAGTCAGAAACCGCAAAGGAAAAGTGCTGGCGAGGGCCCTACGGCAGGGACACCGGACCTGGGTCAGAAAGGCCACCGAGGCAGGTCCCCGAGGCATGTGGCGCGTGGCCAGATGGGCCAGGAACCAGGACGCCTCCGGGGGACTGGTCCCAACACTGAAAATACCAGATAACGGCCTCGCAGAAACTGCAGAACAGAAAGTTGAAGCATTCCAGAAGGTTTTCTTTCCTCATTGCAGACCTTTCCGATATCCCTACGACCTCCCTACCTCGGCAACTTGGCTTCCCGGATCTTGCCGAACACAAGGTGCTGCGCTGCATCCGAAAGGTGCCTCCTGACAAGGCTCCCGGGCCTGACGGCATCCCTAATAAGGTCTGGCACTGTCTAAGTAAGGTTTCCTCCTTTGTGAAGGCGCTCACGGGTATCTTTAATGCCTGTATCCGGCTCGGGCATAATCCCGGATACTTTCAGCAATCTATAACGGTAGTCCTCCGTAAGGCCGCGCCACGGGATTATCGGCTCGTCAAATCCTACCGGCCTATTGCCCTCTTGAACACACTCGGTAAGATTCTAGAGGCGGCAATCGCCACCCGCATAGCTTACGCATTGGAGGAACATAGCTTACTGCCACGAGGGTACCTAGGGGGACGCAAGGGCATCTCTGTCGACCACCTGATTCAACTACTGATGGATGCTATCTTTGATGGCTGGGGCCGAGGCCAGAAAGTAAGTATGCTCCTGTTAGACGTAGCAGGGATTTTCGACAACGTCTCCTACACCAGGCTGCTGCATAACCTGAAGATGGCACGACTAGGGCACTTCGCCGGGTGGCTAGAGTTATTCCTTTCAGACCGACAGACCCGGCTCCAACTACCTGGCTACCTGAGCGGTATCATTTCCACCCCCACGGGGATCCCCCAGGGGTCCCCTATCTCCCCGATCCTTTTCCTTCTTTTCAATACGCCCCTTATTCGGGCACTAGGAATCAATACCGTTGAGAGCATGCGCATCCAGCTACCGCTCTCGGGCAGAACCCTGGCATTCGGCTGGATTGACGATGCCTGTACGATCGCTCTCTCCGGATCCTACGCAGCTAATCAGTGTCTACTGGAGTGGGCACTCGATAAGGCTGCTGTATGGTCCTGGCAGCATTCGTCTAGGTTTGCGCCGGATAAGTTCGAACTGATACACTTCCGGAACTCGCTGGACCCCGATCCCGGGGCCGAGAGGGACACCCCCTGTGATTACACGGAACTATGGAAGGGACAGGACCTTACCAACACTAACGGGGAGGACGGGAGCGCCTGGGAGGTTCCCGTGGAACCCCCGGGGCATGACCAGCTGCCAATAAAGGATCACGCAACGGGACACATCATTCGGCCAGTGGAACACGCTAAATACCTCGGAATCTGGCTCGATAAGACTCTCTCCTTTACCACCCACTGCACCAAGGCGGTAACGAAGGCGAACGGAAGCCTCGAAGCCCTACGGAGCATCTCTGCGTCCACATGGGGCACGTTCCTGCTGAACACGCGGACCATATATCTGGCCGTAGTAGTTCCGTAGATGCTCTACGGGGTTGCCGCATGGTATAGCCCTACCAGCGGGCGTACTAAGTATGCAAAACGGCAGAAGACTATCAACGAATTCGAACGAATCCAGACGCGGGCGGCAGTACTTATTAGCGGAGCATTCAGAAATACTGCCTCTGCAGCTCTAGGGGCAGAGCTGTTTCTGCCTCCGGTCCGCCTGCACATGCAACAGATGATTGAGGAGACCGCAATCCGGATACAGACCGGACCGGTTATGGCCTGTCCCCGGGGATTAGTCAATAAGAGGAGCTCGGTGGAGATAAAACGGTCAGGGTGATCCCCCATGGAGGCGCTGAGGTGGAGGAAGGGGGGCCCTAAAGTGGGCAGAGGCTGCCCCGATCACAGTCTTTTCAGATAGTCAGGCGGCCATTCAAGCCGTGCAGAACCCTGGCCGACCATCAGGCCAGTACGTACTACGGGCTATCTACGAGAGGATCAGGTCCCTGAGAGACGGGGGCCTGCAGCAGGGAGATATAGAGCTGCGCTGGATCCCTGCGCATATCGGTGTAGAAGGGAATGAACGAGCTGACGAGGCAGCCAAACGAGCCGCGATAAAGGGGACTGAATTAAGCTCAGTAGGGCCAAGGGAACTGGCCGCTCGGCTAATCACGAGGCTCGCAGCTGCAGCCAAAACTGACGTCCGCCGGAGAATCCAGGCGCAGTGGGCGAAGTGGTGGGAGCGACAACAAGTTGGAAAACCTACCAAATGCCTGATTCCGAAGCCGAATAAGAAGGTCTTAAGGATGTACGAGGGCCTGAGCAAGCCCCAGACTTCTATAATCATCCAGATGCGCACTATGAGGATCGGATTGAGGCATTTCCTCTTTAAGATAAAGCAGGTCGATTCCGACAGCTGCAGGTGTGAATTAGGCTCTTAAACGCCTAAACACGTCCTTATGGAGTGCTCGCTGCACCTCGCCAGTCGGAGAATAATGATGAAACGCCTCGACTCTATCGAGGGACTGCGTGGGCGTATACAGGACTACGACGCAGTCATGAACTACCCGCAGGCGATACGCTACGTCGCCGATTTCATGCAACGAACAGGCCTCCTACAGCAGTTCCGATTCGCCACGTTTAACGACGAGAAGGACGAGGAGGTCCCGGAACCCAGCACCCTCCTAGAGGGACTCGATCTAAACGAGGAAAACGATAGTTATATTGAACAATAAAGAGCCAGGAAGTCTCAACTGGCTACGTGACGCACACAGGAACAGTGGATCCCACTGGAATATCACAGGTAGAACGGAGTGGAAGGAGAGAACAGCGTCTAGGGGCGCAGTAGGCACGAGGCAGGCGTGTGGCAGCCGGTTTAATTGTGTTACTTTTTGATCTCTTTTGTCTACTGCATTGGGTTTATATGGCGTACGGGCTCGAGATTCTGCTTCATTCGGCGAAGCGCCTGCATAGCCTGTCGTTTCAATAGATAGGCTTCACCAGGTTTATAGAATTTTGATTGATTGATTGATTGATTGATTGATATACAACACCATACCAAACGACTCCGTCTCAGCAATCTTCAAGCTGCTGGCATTTCAAATTTCCTCATTTAGCGCCACCATCTTCAAGTCCTCTCCTGCAGCTCAACCGCAACTTTGTCATTATGAGTTCCGCTTTCGTGGCTCACATGGGCTGTAAGAGTATGCAGCGAGATCGGCTCTTTCACAAATAAATTGTCAATCTCCTCCATGGTCATGCGTGCAGTCTCTGGGTAAAAGAGGTACAGCAGAGGCGCCCAAGTAAAATTCAAAACAGCAAAGATGATGTATGTGCGCCAAGAGATATTTGCTATGGCCGATGGAACGAATTCCACAATGGCAAAATTGCATGTCCAATTCACTGCGGATGCTACCGCGCAGCCACGAACTCGATTTCTGAGGGGAAGTAATTCAGGGGCGTAGCTCCACGGAACACCCAAGTAGCACGCTCCAAATGCACTGCAGACTTCGTTAGATCTATATTTCTTACTAGGGCCAAATCTTTGGGGGACTCACGCCATGTACAGGAAGAAGAAAACGACCGATGCCTTGCTGGCGGTTGGAGTTTCTAGAGATAGAAGGATGGCAACCATAATCATACTCAGGCTTTGAGCAATACTTGTGACGATGAACGGCTTTCTTCTACCCCATTTATCAATAAAGATAAATGCGTAGGCGGAGAAAACAACGAAAATCACGCCGACTAGGCCGGATATCAGAAGAGCAGTATTTGCTGGAAGTCCCACGGAGTTTTCCAAGAGATACGGAATGTAATACACCAAGGCATTGATCCCAGACATTTGTTGAAAGACCATGATTCCGCATGCCAGGATGATCCGTCTACAGATGAAACAGTCAATAAACAGAAGGAAAGAATAGCGAACCTCGCAGAACAAAACATACTTTCTATTACCGGTGAGTTTGCTTTCCCACAATTCACTCCATTTTAAAGGTCCCATTGCTTGCTCTGCGTTCAAAGCAAGTTGAATATCCTGGCACTTCGCTATAACGGCTGGGGTCTCAGAATTTGAATACTCTGATTCCAAGCATGCAAGAACATGGACTGCTTCATCAATTCGACCCTGGGTTGTCAACCACCGAGGTGACTCTGGTAGATAGATTGCCTAGATAAGAATAATTCAGGAAACATATGGTTTAGTAAATAGCAGTACAATGGGATGTAAGGGTGTTATCTCACCATGAATAATGTGGCGCCAGCAAATGCTATCTGAATAGCAATTGGCAGACGCCATTGTACAGATCCATTAACATATGCCATCTATAACCAGTCAGGGATGGATCATTGATAATTATACTTCCAACCTTTATGGGACCTACACCATAATCGAACCAATAGCTTAAGCAAATGCCCACCTGCAACAGAGAGTGAAATTTAGAGTCAACACGCAACCGAAATTAGCTGCAGCCCGAGAGAAAACTCCGTCTTACTCCAATCATGGTTCCTGAGATGGCATTCAAGCGGCCTCTGACTCACGATTAGCACAGCAAAAAGGAAATTAGAGAATTGGTCCCTAACCTGTTATGTGAACCAACAATTTCTGAATTCCAGGCTATCACTTATTAGTCTTTGTTTGGATGTTGCATTTCACTGCGTGGATATTTTGGCGTACTAGGAATCGTGGCAGTGTTGACTCCGTTTCCAAGACCTGCAATGACTCGACCTGCAATCATTTGTCCACCTGAACTAGTGAGTGCACAATAGCTTGATATCAGTCGGTTGTATCTTCACTCATTGACTTCCTGGTGACCAACCAACTTACAAAGTACTCGTTTGCAATATGGCCCCCACTAGAACAATACTGAGGCCAACGATGGTGGACCATCGCCTTCCGAGTTTCTCGCCAACAAACATTGTCATTATACTACCACCCAAGCAACCGAGATCGTACTAAAATTGACAGTCAGGTATACTTAACGGGGTTTTTGATGTCATTGAAAAATGTCATTTTCGTCTTACTACGGCCGTGATTGTCCCCAGCTGGCTTGCATCTGGATTTCCCAAGGTCGAAAGAAAGAGCTTCCCTGAGAGCAATCCCCCAAATACTCCTAGAAAGACATCAAAGTTGCCCAGTCAGTTCAGAAATCCGACTGTGATATGAGAAAAAAGCATCATATCTTTACCTTGATCCCATCCAATGAGAAGAAATGCCAACGATGAAGCTGAAGACATTGCTGCAACAAGCATGCTTCCACGAGCGCCGAAAAAATACCGCATACTGATAATATTTCTTGAATTTTGCAGTACTCAACAAAAACACAATCTGTTTCTTGTCCCTCTGTTGATTTTCAATGCATCCCCTGGCTCATATATTCATCTACAGAACTTGTGTAAGACATGAAACAATCGTATAGCTTACCCCGCATTGTGGAGTCGTTATGGGACTGGGGAAAAAGATAAAGAAAAATTAAGCTGTGGCAACTTCGCGCTGTGCAGCCTGCCTAAATTTTGCGTCAACTACATGAGGTATCGTTTCGAGATACCGAATTTGGAAATGGTGCCGAGGTTAGTCATATCCATGACGTCATCCGCTGGCTAGATGAAGCACAGATCCATCGAGTTCTCGACGAGGGATTTGCAGGCCTTGAGTCGCACCTTCCAGACAGTCAGTCTTTATATTTTGGATGTTTGCTGGCTCAATCACTCATGTAATTTACAGTGGTATTCATTGTATCCTATGCGCTAACCGAAAAAGAGGAAAAAAAAATTTCCCGCTGTCAGTCGACCGTTTGCCACTCCTCCATCAAGACTTGGGATATGCGTGCAGTTGGCCATTTCTCTTTTACCTCAGTTTGATGCAGTATGCTCCGAATAACCTGCTGTTCCATGGGATCTGTTATATAACGGCAACAGAGGAACATCGCGTAGCAAGCCGTTCGACGTGTCTCAGCGGTGGGATTCGACAGGCAGATCCCGCATATTATGTGAGCATGATGGGCTACTTGAGCCTGTGTGTTAAAAGAGGAGAGGCTGGGTAAGTGGCACGTAAAATCGAATACGGTAGGGACACATACCTCCAATACCCTTTGTTGGCGTCGAGCATTGATGCCTATCGCTTGGTTTGGATCATAAATAAGAAGCAGAGCATAGCCCATGTGATAGTATATAATTGCCGTCACTTTGCGGTAGTCATATGGATAAGTCATAATACTTTCATAAGATGGAAGGCTTACTTTACCATGGCATTGTTCGCTAAGCCAAAAATCAGGGAAATACCTCCCCGCAGCCACGTTCCTCTCATTAAAGTAATAGGGTTCAAACGAGGCAGGCCGACAAAAAGACCATTTGTCCAATCTTTCACGTAGGGATGCCCACCTTTCCGCTGTCTCCTCGTTGTGGGAGGAAAAACAGAACCCGATTATGTCGGCGACAATGAGCACGATGACCTGGCTCCATTCACAATCATTGGTCGGTATCTCATTTTCCCACAGCGTGCACATGGATAGGTCTGTTTTGATAGGCCGCTGATCCAAAATCGCCATGTAGATATCTTGACGGAGATAAATCCAGAACGCTGCCTTCCAAAGGTGGCCGTTTGTGGCCGCTTGTGCTGAAGCAAGGGCGGATGCACCGAGTAAATGGCACTCATCGTCATTAAATGATCCTGAGAAGATATAGCGTTAGCTTTATGAGCACAACTAAGACTTGATGGTGTTGCGAAACCACGGACCATTCATTTGCTCGTAAACACGCAAAATTACAGTAGTTGCAAGAAGTAACTCATCAATTGGTCCATCTGCATGATACAGCATGCCAAGAATCAGTTTCACACACGCTTCATGATACTGCTCCGCAATCACAATGGAAGAGCCAGAGAGTCTGCTCTGGTGGAGGGATGCAACTGCAAGAATTGCGTTGAGCAGAACCGGAGCACGCTGTGCGCGTTGCTGTACCTCAAGTGTGAAGTGACGGTCTGCGTCTTGTGAGTCCAACTATTCCTCTCGAAGGGCCATTAGTCGGTGCGCGAGGGACTGTTTTGGATGGGGATTCATACGCCCGGGGCCCAGCGTTCCTTGAAAAATCTGAAAAGCGCTGCATGTTCAAGGCAACTTATTCCCTTGTTTTCTCGTGGGGGCGCATATAGTTCTGGAACCCCTGCCACTGTGATAGCCCCCGCCACACTGATGCTGTCGCTGCTCCCTGGCGAGGGCCCCTGGTAGCTTGCTAAGTCCGCAACACTACTGGTGACGTTGGGTTCACTGGCAACCGTGGAGAGGGTCGCATCTATATCATCGTCACATGGCATCTCTAGAGATAGCTCTGCTCGGAGCTGTGGCTGATTAGTTGGAGCCAATTGCCCCTCATCTCGAGTTATGAATGGATAAACATTTTGCGCTAAGATTCCGGGAGAAGAAGCAGCTTCTTGGTTATGAACTGGGCTATGAGCCGCTATAGGACTATTGTCGGCGTTAAACGTAGAATGCTTGGTTGCCTCTGTCTTTTTCTGAGAGACTATGGGAGGTTTAACACCTCTAGCGGTCGTGAAGACATATCGAAAGTTGGCTGCTGGGTCGGCCTGGATACATTCTCGTTTCCCACGCGTGCAGCGAGTACAGGTTGGTTTAGTCTCATCGCCTGGATCAGCAGTTAACCAAGTCGTCTGATAAGGAAAAACTGTATAGTATATAGAGAAAACATACATTTCAAATGCCGGGACCGGCAGGTGACACTGACATGGATGATGGTATGTGAGCACTTCATCAATATTGATGGACCTAACAAGTTGATTTCCCCCCTTGATGGACATGTTTCCTGCAACTTACCAGCCAGTTCGAGTCCTCATGGCTTCTAGAGATATTATAATATCGTAATTATTATCATAAATCACAACTAAGTCATTTATTTAGTATTTATTGCGGCAGCGAGCGATACGGGGGATAATCTTGAGGCAAGAATGAAGTTTGGAGAAATACGAGACCATGGCGCCAAGACCCGTGTACGGTAGATCAATCACCCGTTATTACTATTACGTAATGCTTGGTAATCTGGTTTCGTTCTTACAGTGGGTGTACACAGGTTGCATGAGCCAAGCGGTGAGCTCATGTGGCCTAGACCCCCTGCACGTGAGCGCCAAGGCCATTATTAAGCAGACTTGTCCCGCATGAGATCTTTAAATACTAGTGTTTACACCCGAAATTCAATTTCTGTTATTAATTCTTTGACAGTTTGACTAGTAAGAATATTAAAACGATTGTCAATCAGTTACCAACCAGTTACCAATCAGTTACAGCAATGGAGGCTCTGAACACGGAGAACATTTCAATTCAAGATAATTTTATCGAGCCGAGTGCTGATGTTCCGACAGAAATCCAGGTATAACTAATTGGATATTTAACTGCTTACGAATCAGTTTTATAGTTTGTAACTAGTTTGCAAGTGCTTAGAAAGTACTTAGCTGGAACAGTCATGTCAAAGACCTCATTATATATATTTCATTCAGGTGCAATTTGATCCTCCATAACTGGTACCGTATTGATCTTACAGAGCTACCGACAATACCATTCCACAAGTAATTAACAGTTATTAATAAAGCTATCACTTGTTAAACGCGTAAGAAGTAATGATCTCGCCTTCGGATAGAGCAGCAACAGAGTAACTCTTAGGATGGTGGTACGGTATGTTACCTCCTGAAGCCAGGGGGCTTTCCTGTACGGGAGAACGTTCCGGAGGATCAAGGGATCCTCTGCGGCAGGCATCCAGGAGCATTCCTAGGGATCCTGCAGGCATTCCTGCCTGAGGCAAGCTCCAGGCAGTATATAGAGTCCCTGGATTCTCTCCCCTAGATAGCCTTTTCCTCCCTATGGGAAAATTCCTTGACTCAGAGTCAGAAACAAACTTGTCTTATATTGAGCTCTTTTGTAGACCGTCACAGGCAGTACCTTTAGGAAATTGATCCTCAATACCGTCCTATATTATAGTAGCTCAAAGGGATTGTTATTTTTTGCCGAGTTTACTTCTTTCGAACAATTACTGAAGCTATAGGAAATACGAGTCGAGGTACAAGTGTCTGGAGCCGTATAGTTAATCTTATTAATTGTAAATCAGAAGAGGATTATGATCAGTTATGTAATTTATTGACAACTAGTTAACAAACAGTTTACAAGTAGTTACTAACTACTTTAGAACATGAAAATTCAAAAGTTCAGGCGTAGACTAGTCATAAAAAGCAGCCAATTATCAAAGCTGAGCTAAATAAATCTTGCTCTTATATTCCAATCTTTGTTTATAATTCAATTCGAAATTATACTAATGCTGCTGAACAATCTCATCATAAGGTAAATGCAGCTGGAAAACGCCTTACATTGGCTGGAGCGATACAAAAGTAAGTTTTAAGAAGCACTTTGCAAGTGCTTCTTAACTGTTTAGCAAGTATTTAATAACTGATCTAGTTCTCTTAACCGTTTTTAGCTCTGCAAAGCTCGATAAGTAGGATATCAGTTATTATATAAATCGTACTGACTGTGACGGTCTACAAAGGAGCCTAGTAAGAGACTAGTTTGTTTATGACTCGTAGTCAAGGAATTTTCCCATAGGG